CAGTGACCATATCAACAAAAGGCCTGAAGCCCCTCTACAACTATCGACATTTATCAAAGTTCATAGAGTTTCCGGAGGCATGTTGTTGAGGAAGTTGATGCCACTCCTGCTTCCAGGTACATTATTCCATTGGGCACAATGCCTGTCAATTAGATACCATTTTGAAAGTGGCCTTTTAAAAACAAATCATTTTTAAGACCAAAGCATGAGCCTGATATTATTTATTCTACTGATCAACCACAGGGGACTCTTCCGGGTCACAACTTGTATGTAGGAATCACAGTGTTGATAAATTACTCCTCTCTGTTTCTAGTTTTGGTTGTTTGTTTTTTGGGGTTTTTTTTTGGTTTGTTTGTTTTTAGTGGCTTAGGACTACTCAGTGTGTTCAGTGTACTACTATAGTAATACACCAAACGTGTATTCTATAATATTTTCATGCTTGTTGAGTCATGTTGACATTTCCCAGCAATAGGAGGCCATGGATGCACTGAACAAAAAAAAATTAGAAGTCAGATAGCTAATAAGAAGGTCGTATGAAAATGTTCAGTGTCAAATTCTGAGACCTTTTTTTTTAAATCACTCCGCCTCCAGTTAGGTTCCTAACTCTTCTTGTGATGGTAAGATACCATTGACTAGATTGCAAATGTTGGTCTTGAAAAACCCAGGAAGTAGCTCCTGTTTCTACCTGAGTTCTTTCTTCAAGGCACCAGCAGAAGCAAGGAGGGCCTCTACTGATTGTCAGCTGGCGTCGCTTCCAGCACCGAGATGGGAATATCAGCTTTAACAGCTGATGGGTTCAGTTTGGTTGGAACACATGTTGACTCTCCGGATTGTTTGCTCACTGTAGACGCTGACTTGTTCGAGACGGGGCCCGCGTGTGATCTCCTTTGTCTCCAGAAGGCTTGATTGACGGATGTTATGCCTGCTCATTTGCAGTGCCTTTCTTGTTTCATTTAAAAAATTGTGACATAGAATTACATGTTCCTTGTATACATCGTTTTTTGCAGAAGAAAAGTTGTTTAGCCAATATGTCGACTTAGTTTATGAAACCCTCTCCTTAGCTTTCATTCAGCCTTAAGTGTGCTCGGTTAGGCCATGGTGTTCGGCTCATGCACGGCAAATCGTCACCAGCAGCAAAATTTAACATTTGGTCCTTGTAGGTATAAAGATGAATCAAACGCCTGACAAGATTTGTCTCTGGTTTATATTTCAGAGTGTGTATGCTTCCCCACCCCCCTTTATGGGCATGGGACAAATGTTACTAACGGGTACTTTTAGTTTTTAAAATATGGACAGCAGTGCTCCATGCAGTAAAAGACTTGAGCGATTAATGCTACCCTTATGCCTCCTTTGAGTAGTTTTAGCCATGGGGCTTGGCGCTGCCACCATTGTCTTTGTGCCAAAAAATATCCGCAGCGGCTGCCGTGTCCTCGTCCTGGAGGATTGTCTAGAAATTTCCGCAGTGAACGCTCCGGGTTTGTTCAGCGCAGCTATCTCTTTTTAAATATTGGGAAAACAGCATCCAGAGCTCTGGCAGGGCTGCGGCGCGGTGGCAGGGCTGCCGGGGGAGGTGGGTGGTGGAGATGGAGGACAGGAGAAAGGGGCTGCCCACACCCTGCCCTGTTGGTCCAAGTGCCAGGCGTCCATGCCCTTCCTACCGTGGAGGAAGCCCAGACACTCAGCCTTCGTGTCCAGGAGCAGAGAGAGGTACTTAGAGATCCTACCCAAACATGTCACCAGCGCTCTTGGCAATGTTATTATCTCAAAGAAATGTTCCACCAAATTTTAAGTAGAAAATCAACATCAAGACCGTGCCTAAATGTTAGTGGACAGTTTAAACAATAAAGACACCCCACCCTCCCGAAATTAAGGTATCATTTTAAAAATGGCTGCTTTTTGGCGTTTAAAAAAAAAATGATGGGAATGGATGTGTTATGTTTTAGTTGGCTCTTGGATTTTATCCATGGTCTCTATTGTGTTCCCAAACAGAGGTTTGGGCTCGGAGCTTGGATTTATAGTTGAATTTGGGAACAAAAAGATGTAATAAAGTTAAAGGCTTACACTATCACGATGAAATCTGTTCGTTCCTGATCTCCAGAGCAATCTATTTGATGGTAAGAGTGGATGCTACAGATGAAATCTTTACAAGGAGCATAATCTGGGGGGGGGGGGGGGAGCTAGCCCACCTCGCAGCCTCCTGCTGGCTGCGCTGCCTCTTTGGTTCCACACAGGCTTCGACAGAGTCCTGGACTAGTGCCCATTGATGTCATGGAAACACTCAAATTACTGAGAATGATTCATGTCTATGCTGGTCTCTGATCCTCCCCCACACAAACAGGAGTAGATTTTTAACCCTGACAACTTGTAATTTGCAGTGGGTTTATTTTTGTATCTGCATAAATATTTTTTAACAACCAAAATTAAGATTAAGCAGTCTGTATCTGATATGATAGTAAAGAATACTGGGTCTGTGCAGCCGGAGGACTTCAGGGACTCTGTGCAGTCACATCGCATTCTTCTCCTCAGCTCGCCCTCCTCCTCCTGTCCTTCCTCGTCCCTCCTCCCTTTCTTTTCTCCATCCTCCCTCTCTCTCGCTTCCTCTCCCCCCATCTTCTTCTTCTTCTCTCTTTTTGTAGCCCTTACCATTTGTACTGACCCTCTAGTGTATACTTAATAAAAGGAATTAGTCCCAAGCTGTGCACGTGGAGTGAGAGAAATTCTGGGAGAGTAATTCTTCTCTTCAGTGTGAAACCCGAGTGACAAAATATTTCTGGATGGTGAAATTTATGTTGGCTACCTTTGTTAATCTCAGCGACCGAATGACACAGGTGACCTCTCTGACTCAAAGTGCATTTCCCAGCTCCTCTTGTAGACGTGACCCCACCAGGACACTGGATGCTCGATTTCCTTGGAAAGCAGAGCAAATTCCACTTTGTAGTATCTGTTTATCTTTCTGGCTGTCTGTCTGGCTGCCTTCCTGCCTAGCTGTGTGACTGCTACACAGGTAGATATCATGTCAAAGTGAATTGTATGGTAGTTGTGTTGAAGCTTTTATAGACGCATGGGCCAAAGAATTGGTTCACTTCATTCTTAGCCCAGTAGTTTATGATAGTCAAGTCTCTTCTGTTAGGAACACTTGAGGACAAGTTCAGGGGTGTCCATAGTTTATATTTTACTTACATAAAAGAATAACTATGTCTGTTGGACAATTGGCTCCAGGTAAATAAATAGGTCATGATTTCACTATAATATCCTCATGCGATGAAAGATCTCAGGTCTCCCAAGATTGGCAGTTTCTTAACTGGAACCCTGTGTCTGTGGCATTGAAACAGATCAGAGCCTAGATCTTATTCTTAGCACTGAACACTGTACCAGAAAGAGGGCTGATGGGACTGGCTCTTGTAGAGTCGGATATTTACTGAAATAAGGAGAAAAGTCAGGGTTCATTTTAAGGCCTACGGTTGACTTTGTTAGAAAGTTATCTCTTACCTTGATAACTTTTTGTAGTTGTTGTCAGGTTGGGCTGGCTCAAAGCTGACCCTCCAGCGTGGGTTTTTGGGATAGTTGTCACGAGAAAAGATTGCCTGTCCTTCTCCCTTGGCGCCACTGGTAGATTTGGTCCATTTTTGAGTTAACAGTGAAACTCCCTGTGAACTAGACCGCCTGAATCCCTGCACACTACATATAGGCATATACAGTGGCAGAGGTACAGTGTGAACTGTCTCTACAAAGGCATGTACAGTAAGAACTGGGACCAGCTGCGAGATTGAGTATTGATTTATTCTTTGTGTGCTTTGAGAAGGCAGACTCTTTAATACCATTGTTATTGGTTGCACAATAAAAAAATTAAAAAGATGAGTGCTTGAGAGGGTAGAACTTTGGGTTATCTGCACATCAGAAGGATACTCATTCTGTTCCTCCAGATACTAATTTCGAATGTTCTCAGATGGAAAAGGGCTAGTAGAGTCTTCAGAATAATCCACTCCCATGGTAACGCAGTGGTCTCCAGGACAGACTCTCCAGGCCGGGCGTGCCTCAGTCTTGAGCAGCGTGGATTCCTGAGCTGGGCACTGAGATGCCCACTGCTCCCCTTGTCACTTGCTGGACTTTCTTCTGCTTAGGGTTCTAGTGCTGTAGTATCTTTATCTTCCTTGTTTAAGACTAAGGGAAAGCATAATTTGGAAAGAGATAAATGAGCAGCCTTCATTCTTAACCTTGGCCAAACGACATCATTGGTTGTATACGTGTCTGTCAAGCCATCCGCAGATAAGAATGGGCTTGATAGAACTTGAGCAAGACAGTCATAGTCCACAAGTCCATGTCCTGCCAGGTCTACTGGTGGAACGTGAACTTGGGTTCAGTGTAAGCACCGAAAAAAAAAATAAAATAAAAACCCCAGCAAACAAACAAAATATCCTCTTTCCCAGATGGAAATTTCATCATCATCTTGATCATGATGGGGGATTTACTCCTGGGAAAGAGAGTTGCTTTTTTTAAAAAAAAAAAAAGAGTGAGAGACTTGGAATTTTGAATTGTTTCTTTGCTAAACTCACCATCTGGAGAGTCCGTGATTGATTAGTTTTGGCCCCCCTATTAAGTGTCAATATAATCAATGGGAATTACGAGGCTAGGGTCATTACATAGATAATTTGCCTGCTGTGTAAATAAAAATGAAATTGTTTGAATTTTGTGAGAGCAGAGAAAGTGAAAATAAGGAATGACAATTTGTTTGCTAGAGAAAGTGGAGGCCGCTGGAATGACAGTTTTTGGAAGTGTGGAGCAGTTTGGCTAAGAATAGGAATGAAGGAATTTTTTTCCAGTTTCTCCTAGCCAGAGTGAGGAAGCTTTCTGCTCCTCCTGCTTGCATACATTGCCGGTCGTGCCTGCTTCACGTATGTAAACACCGGGGAAGGGAAGTCGATGCCTGTTACCTGGAGGAGCAGTTTTTTTAAAAAAGAAAACCACCGTTTACACTTTGTTTTTGTTGTTTCCTTTGGCAGGTAAAACGGAAAGGGGCTCCTACTCGTCTTATGGGAGAGAGTCAAACTTGCAGGGTTGCCACCAGGTAAGTGGGAAGCTCAGGGCGGAGGGGCTGGGAGATTGAGTTTGAATGAACCTGGGGAATGAGTTTGTTCTCTAAATGACATTCTACATTTGAGACAGTGGCATCAGGACTCACCGACTCTCTGTCTGTGTGACTCTCTGTCTGTGACGGTCTCTTTTCAAAAGCAATGAAATAACCCAGGGCTTTGAACTAATAAACATCTTCTCTTTCGAGGTTTGCCTTCTCTGAACGAAATTCAGTGGCTCCTTTGGATTTTCTCCCCCTTGTTCCATCAGCCGGTTACCAGTGCCACTGTTTGCAAATGGAGGATGCCAGTTAAAGTGATTCTATCTAAAGAGTTTATTTGTAATTAAGAACTGGCGAATGCCTTGCACGGCAAATGCTTCAAGAAGAAGGCATGTGTCAGACCCTGAGTGAGGGTGGCTAGTGCCCCTAAATTATAGTTTTCGTAGAGGCCGTGTGATGTTGTGTGAAAACAGGGTTGTATTGAAGGATAAAAATGTCTGTGAAAATATGATTTGTTGTCCCTTTTTGTTTCTGAATTGTTTTTGGCTGGAAGTCAAGGCCAGCAGGCTAACAGCAAAGCCGTCTCAGGGGAAGCATGCGTGAGCTAGAAAAATAAGAGTACTTTAATTAAATAATAAAATGCCAGTGTAATACAAAGGTGTAGCATGTGTGTGCCTGTGCCTCTGTGCACTCCTCATTTGCATACTTTTAACTCTCTGGAGAGCACCCGCTTCTAAAAATACTATCAGTGGCCCAAAGTGTGTAAGCTTTGTTTCGAGACAAAGTGAGTTTTGATAGAGCTCCTCTCTGTAATTTCAGTATCGGTATTAATCATATATTTATTTTTGTTTTTAAAAGAAGAACTTCAGACTTTTTTTTTTCTGTAAGTGCATTGGCTCCTTACTTTGGAAAACTCTTGGTACAATTTAATAACCCTCTTTAATATTCAAAGCTTTTGCTTCCTCTCACTCACCCAAACAAAATGCACATTCTTTTTTTTTGTACTGAAAAAGGTATGCTGGCTCTTTTGTAACCCCTGGCCCTCCCATTTTTCTTTAATGCTGTGAAGAGGGGGGTAGTTCATTTTGCATCTTTTCAACGACCTGTTTTGTAGCTCCTTGGGCCGGGAAGGGGGGCATAGGAGCAAAGCATTCGTTTTAGTCATGAACTAGATAGAACCTGTAAAGAAAGCTTCTGTTACGTATCAGTGATCTGTCATTGAAGGTGGTATCTGGTGGAGGGTGGATCCCCCCCCCCCCGCTCCTGTATATATTTGCATTTTTGAAGTTTTACTCCTTTGGTGGAGCCACCGATTCAGTCAGACTTGGCAGCGAAAAGATTGGTTGCGATGAGGTGAACGGTGGCTTGGTGGAGAGCCTGCCGCTACTGACAGGCCGGGGAGCTTACTTAGTTGATGGCAGTTTATTTGGAAAGAATTCTGCAGGAAAGAAATTTACAGCCATTCCAGCGCAGCGGAAACATCTTTGGAATGTGAGTGCATATGTTCCGGGCAGATAGCTGGGGTGACGCGCCTCCGAGTGGGGTGTCTCTGAGCACAGCTCCAATTCCCGCAGGAGAGCAGGTTCCTGTGTATCTGGTTTCTGAGGGTCAAGGCAGAGGTCACGCGAGTTTTGGGGGAGAAGAAAGTTGACAACATCCTTCCTTTCTGCAGATGGTCATGGCAGAGGTCTGTCTCGCTGGGCCTCTCTCGCTGGTCATTGAGAGGCTCAGCTTCCTTGTCCATGTACCCTTTCTTAGTAATAGGAATTGGCGTGATTCCTCACAGACACAAAGATTTCCTCTGCTGAGTAAGCGAGGCCTCTTAACTTGGGAAAGCATCATCTAGCCCGAGTGAGTCTGGCCGAGGGTGTGCAGGGATACAGACCCTCCCTCCGTGTCTGGGGACCACTTCTCTCGGGTGACAGCTGAAGTTCATTGCCTTTCCGGGTCCCAGGTGAGGTGAGGGTGGCCAGAGGGAGAGAGGACGGAGTAGAGGTGGCCAGTGGGCTGTGGGCTGGCTGGATTTCGGGGCCTTGGCCAGTTCATGGGGAGACACCCAGGTCCAGGAAATAACTATCGTGCATCTGAATGTGACCGTGAGCTTGTCTTTAAAAGTCTCCTCTGGTGACTGTGGAGTGGGGAGACGCCTGTCTTCAGTCTTTCTGTATCAGGCGTGTGAGTCTCGGAAGAATTGACTGTCCCCGGGCTTAGCACCATCCAGAGACACTGTGATTACTCACCCCTAAATAACAGCGGAATTTCAGGATGTCCCCTGAGTGAGGCGACAGGGGCTGAAGATGGCAAAGTGAGCATGTTCCAAATCTCACTGCCTTTTGTGAAATTTGAGAGTAGAACCGAGCCTCCAGCCTGTTTCTCTTGTGCTGGGTTATTGTTCTTTGAATCCCTGTCTACGAGACGCCAGCTATGCAAACCAGAAAGAAAAGCAGAGTCTCTCGGTCTTGGGCTTCGAGTCTAAATAGCAGAACACAGCTGAAATGATCCCCCCGGGGTGACAAGGTGAGTGGCTCTGGAGGAGGGAGTGCTTTTGTTTTCTCCCCTGCACGAGGTGGGAGAGGTGAGGTTGGAAGACCTGCCCAGGGTGTGCCCAGGAGGGCCTGCACGGGGCTGCGTTAGGATGCTGTGACAATGGATCATGGGGACTTTAAGGCAGTGAGTGCTGTTCATGTGCCCATGCTCTTCCACTCTTCCACTGCCCTTTGTTTGGGTAGAGAAATCGCCGTGGTCAGCAACAGGTAGGGAAGTACCAGTCTAAAGGAAGAAATTGTCATTTTGAGACCTCAATTGTTTGCACAAACTTCGTCTTAAAATAGACCTCTGTGTGTTCTCCTGAGGATTTAGCACTGATAAGTAATGGACATGTGGCTTTTAGCAAGAGTGGAGATCTTAGCAGCCCAGCAAAATTAAGCTGTTCGCCCTAAAAAATAGTAATGGGATCCTATGGATTTCTTAATGCAATTTCCGCATGAAATTGGTCTGGAATAAACATGGTAGCTTTTCAAAACTTTTGAAATGCTTTAGGAAACGAATCCACGGACAAACAAAAGCGGCCTTCAGGATGTGTTTTTCCCTTCGCACTAAATATGGCAAAGTGAATTTCAGTCACATCGGGCTACAGAAATCATGCCCAGGCTTAAAATACACTTGCCAAATTGCAACCTCATACTACTGCTTTTATTGGTCAAGAAAAAGAAAACTTCTAATAGAAAAATCTGAGATGAAAACAAGCGGAAATGAAGTTTTCCTTAAGCAATCGCGAACACCTCCTGGTATCCGCGCCCTAAAGGAAAATGTACCTTTTTGCTGTTTATCCCCCATTGTTGCTTTGGATAGGGCTTTCGGTGATTGCAAACTTTTCTCCTTTCCCCTCCATTTTGTTATGATTGATTGGTTTGAGTGAGATAATTATATCCTAAAGAATATTCATTAAGCTGGAACGCCTTCCCTTAAATGCATTTTCCGCATTGACTATTGATCGTTGGGAGCTTAGGGTTGCCCCCCCACCCCTTCCTGGTTTGTAGCACTAGTCAGAAGCAATACTTTGAACTCTAGCTTCGTTTGGATCCTTTGAGCAAGGGTTTTTTATTATCCTCCGTGTGTGTTGTGTGTGTGTTAGAGAATCTGACAATATTTCATTAGTTATGGCCTAGACATCTGAGTTTCTAGAATACCCTCCAGTTGAATCTAGTGGCAGCTGGTTTGAAATAACTATTTAAAAGGTTTATGTTCAAATATGTTACAACTACCTACCTTGAAAAAAAATTTTTTACTAAATTTTATTATTCAAAGTCTGGAAATATATTGCACGTGTACTTCAATTTAAAAACAGTGGAAATTGACAATCTCTTGAAAACCAGTAAGATGAATTGTAATTTTTATTTAGATTTTCACCACCGAATATCCCATCCCAAATCTTATTCTCTCTGGTGAAGCTCGTCCAGATTCTTTCTCAGCTAGTGATCAAATAGGACTCTTTTGATAAAAGTTGGTTGATGTTGAGATCATCAAGCTGACGTCAAACTATATAAGAAACAGCCCTTTTTTATTTTTAACTTCATTTGCTCCTAAATCTGGTCATTTTTGATTTATCAAGAGTAAACCAAGCTGATTTTATGGAAATTCTTCTTTAGGCCTGGTATAAGTGTATGTGTAGAAAAGGATTTTTTTATTTTTTTTTTTAAGCTAGGGCTGTTGTACATAGGGTCGCTATGAGTCGCAAACGACTCGACGGCACATAACAACAACAACAGTAGTATTGATGCTTTAATGTTTTTTCTTGTTGCTACTTGACAGTGGAGTGATTCTGACTTAGCATCACCTTGTATGGCAAAGAGGAACTGCTTTGAGCGTTTCCAAGGCTGTAATCTTTACAGGAGCAAATTGTCTGATATTTCCTCCAGAGGAGCCTCTGGCAGGTTGGAGCAGCCCACCTCTAAGTTACAGCCAAGTGCTTGAGCGTTGTCGCTGGGTCTGCCTTCCTAGCCTGGGTTTTAGGCCTTCTTCCCTGGAGACCTCTGTCATCAGGATATTGGTACTCCCTCCTTTTGTTTCAAGGTGCTTTTTCGAATTTCTCCTCTTGGTATGTTTGTTTACTGCTGCTTGTACCCACTTTGTAAATCCCGAGGGCCCAGGGACCATGTCTACTTTATGTTGCCCTGTCTGCCCGATGTTACTTGTTATGTCCTCAGCATCATTTTGGGAAATCATCTTGGGGATTACAGTCAATGTATGGGACTCATAGAAGCAACATCATTATCATTTTTTTAAATTAATTTTAATGAAAGTTTAAGAGACGTAGGGTTTCCATCATTTTTATTCTTATGAAAGCCAGATTCTCACCTACATTTTTTCCAAAGAAAGGCCTTTGGAAGCCTGCCGTTGAAAGCCCTGTGCTGGTCTGGTCGGCCCCGTGGTCATGTTGTAGGGGACATTCCCTTGGTACTCTCACATGGCTGAGCGCTGCCCAGTGGCTTCAG